ACTTAAACAATGACAATAAAATGATATCTAATCTTAATCAAGTCATTTGCAGTAGACATGGGGGTTTTGAAGTAGAAAAAAACATCATGAATAAACTTTATTCATTATCTGTTTCTATGCTTAGGTTGGTAACAATAAGCTTTCATGTAAGTCAGTAGCCTACCAGCTACACTCCCACAGGCATGAAACAAAGTCCCTTGTGTCCACCACCTGCAGTCCTCAGGATAATTGAAAACATCTCCAGCCTTAATCATCATACTGGTGTCAAATGAAGGGTCTTGTATTACATATATTTCCCAGTAGCCTCTCCTTATTTTGAGCATTAACTGGTGACTTTACAAAAAAATATAGATTTGTTTAGCCACCACTTCTGTCCTCATTCAAACATCTCAACAACTATTGAATGGATTGCTATGAATTTTTTTAGACAGTCATGGAGCCCAGAGAATGAATCCTCAGGTGATACGTTTGGTGATTCATTTGTGCTAATTGGCTAATGTTAATGTGCTACCACCTTAAGAAAAATGGTGACAATGCAAGATTTGTTTGTTTGTTTGTGTGCTGTGTGTTCCATTTGACTTGTGTGCTATTAAGTTTCCATCCACCTGCTGTTGTAAGCATTTGCAAGTTGCACATAAAAGACCTAAGTGGAAATATAGAAAAAAAGTCCAAATATCACAAAAAAAATATGTTAGTGGCAGATGAAGACATCAGATCTGTGTTGAGCGATGAGGAGACTGTGACCTTCCTAGAATTAATACATGAAACCAACTGAAAAGCAGTAGGAATCAAGGTAATTTGTCAATTTACAACAAAGGTTACTTCGTAAAATGTAAGTTGCAATGCCTTCAAGCTTCACACACAGAACATATATTCAAATATTTTCATTGACAATAAAATAAAACAATATATACATATTTACATATACAACAGTAAAGTCGCATAATCATCCTGTAGCCTAGTGCATTTTGAATTTGTAAATCTGGAATGTGAACAGCAGCAAACAGATAGTGTTGATAATACAGCACCCTAAGGTCCAAGCTGGGTTAGGTTAGCTCTTACATCTAACATCTACAGATGTTCTACCAGTCTGTAGTGGCCAGTGTCCTCTTCGTAGCGGTGGTCTGTTGGGGGGGAGGCATCGGCACTGGGGGTGCCAACAAGCTTAGCAAGCTGGTGAGGAAGGCCAGTTCGGTGGTGGAGATGGAGCTGGACAGTGTGGAGGCTGTGACTGAGAAGAGGATGAGAGGGAAGCTGAAAGCCATCATGGACAAGCCCTCTCATCCTCTCTACACTGAGCTCAGGCAGCTCAGGAGCACGTTCAGCCACAGACTGACTCAGCCCCTCGTTTGTACCATCAGCCATCAGACTCCACAACGCCACAGCACACAGTACCAAAGACTGGTTTAAAACTCCTACCTCCAACGCACAAGCCTTTTGCACTATTTCTATTTAATTTCCACTTTAGTAGTTTAGTAGTTTTAGTTTAGTTTTAGTTTTTTAGTTTTAGTCAAGTTTAATTTTCTGCTTATATTTTGCACTCCATGTCCTACTTGAACAATGCATAGTGTATATACTTTACTTTATAGTTTTATATCTTCTAATCAGAATCAGAATCAGAAAGACTTTAATAATCCCAGGGGGAAATTACTTTCGTTACAACTCCAAATCAACATACAACATATTTACAAGACACAGGGGCTGCCCTTTTTCAAACGGCCGTTTTGGTCCCCTGCTGTTTTTACCGTCCAAAAACAATGTTACGCTACAGTAAGCCGTCATGTACTAGGACAAGCTGAAGCCTGTTTCCCTTAGTTTAGACTGCCCACAAGCTCCTCGATTGGCTCTGCCGTTTCTTGTGTGATTGGCCGTCCCCGCTGTCACTCCATCTTGCTTGCACACCAGTCTGAGAGGAGTTTCAGCGCACTGAGGAGGTTAAAGACCTGGCCTCGCAACTGCATGAAGCACAAACGCCTGAACAATGTGGCAGTTTGTCACATACACCGAGAAAGGCTTGATGCCTTGGACAGGAAGAAACTCTGCCAGGAATTTATCTCTGCCAATGATCGAAGACAACATGTGTTTGGAAGCTCTGGATGAGTTGATTATGTTGACCCTTCTGTGGTCTTTGGCTCAAATTGACCCTTGTTCACTTTTCATTTACATCAAAAATAGGATTTTCTTCCATATAACTGCCTAAAAATGACAGTGGTTCTCTGTTACACTCATTTCAAATAAAATTGATTACTTGACTACTTACACTGAATTATGGACATTTTATTCAATTTCTCCCCTTCTGTGATATTCCTGCCAGTTTGACCTGCCCACCACTAGGTGGTGCTATGTAAATGAGGTCTCTTAACCATATATTCCAAAAATAAGTGTAAAATTGGTGGTACTGAGTTGGAGTGAAGTTGACTAACAAGGTGAAACACAGAATTGGGTGATGATGTTTTGCTACATGCTTTACAAGCAGTAAAAACCAAAAAAGGAACAGTAAACTTAAAAGTAGCAATAGAAAACTAGAAGAACTACTAGAAAACACAGTGAACTGAAAGAGTTAGAGTTTTATTAAAAATACTTGTGTCCCCCCCACCTCTGAAATCAAAATTTCGTCCTTGGATTGACCCATCTAAAAATATATATATTAGGTTGACCCCCCCTGCCTGGTATATGCCCATATCTTTCAAACTCATGCACAGTTTGTAATGCTTTCTATTGGAGATAGGTGTAATATGTGTATAAAAAAATAACTTGAAATAAAGTAGAACAATTTTAAAATACATTTGGAGTTAAAAGACACAGAACTTACAAAAAAAGGAAGTGTGTGTGTGTGTGTGTGTGTGTGTGTGTGTGCGTGTGTGTGTGTGTGCGTGTGCGTGTGCGTGTGCGTGTGTGTATGTGTGTGTGTGTGTCGAGGTCACTCACTGTATGTGGCACTCATATTGGGCATCAATATATGCCCTGTCTCCTTCTCGTAGGATTCATTTTAATTTTGAGTGGTCATATACATTGTTGAAATCTGGGATTACAGGATTTCATTTGTTCAAATGAATGTTTTACATTGTAGGACAGGAAGTGCATCTCTGTCTCAACATCACCTGTCCAACAGTGACCACATATTACTATATAAGTTTTCTTTTGGTTTCTACGTTGTTTGTGTCTTCCCTTTTCAATTTCCAGGTTGTGCTCACTGAGCCTGGACTTGGTTAGGATCTGTCTCTGCTGTCTCTCTCTGACAGTAGATATTCTGCCCATTCATAATCTCTTTTAGGCTCAGAACTAATTACTAACTAACTAATAAAAGGCCAAGTCAACTGCCAAACATTTATTTTCCGTTTCTCTCTTAAAGCTAAAGTACTTGGTGCTCATGTTAATGCCACTGACAAATAAAGGAAGACACAAACAGAGAAAGAAATTACCATCCTTTAAAAACACCAATTTTCTGCTGCTCCTTTAATTTCAGAATAACTTCATGTTCATGCATTCCAGCATGAGGTCCAGTTCTCAGCTGTTTGTTTTTGAGAATCTCAAAGTAATGGTTCCAGTTTCCATCTCTGTCTGCTCCAAACCCAAAAACATTGACCTGGGAAAACAAACACACCATGAATCTCAGCTGGATTTGAATAAACGCTCCATAGAATTGTCTTTCTTATTTCTGCATACAGTACATTTCTGCATATTCTAACTTACATTTCATACTGCTATGGTGCTGCACTCCACAGTGTTACTAAATAGGGTTTCTGAACACATCCAGATAAGCTGGGTAGAGTTAAAATGATTTGTTCTCTCTCACAAGCAAAGGCAGCCATTTTATAAAGTTCAATTTGAAAAAAATGTAAATGTGAGAAGTACTGACGACAGCAGACGTTACATTGTTTCTTTTGTGCCAGGATGTGTTGCCATGTTATGGTTCTTTCACATGCTCAGATAAAACAAACAAATGTCATCCTACAGTAAACCCTATCAAAATGAAAGATTCCATGTCAAGGTGTTGTCAATGAGTATGCTGGCATGAAACCTTTGCTAGCCAACTGAAACTGATGTTATCATGATTCTTTTGTTTGCAGGATAGAAGGTGCCTTTTATGAACACAGCACTCCTGTCAATGTAATGCAAGGTGTTGGACATAAAGTAACCTAAAATAAAATCAAATATGTGGAAGGTGTGATTGAGATGTAAATTGAGAAGCTAGAAAAACATTGAAGTTAATGGGTTTACAGTTTTAGAATCATATATAGCTTGATATTGATTTGGGGACAAGGACATGGCTGGATAGCTAGCTTGTATTGTTAAACATACTGTCAAATTATATTTACCGTTTGTCAATTGTTGTTATTCCCTTTTAATCTAGCTAGCATAGCGTTAGCTCTGTGTCTCGTAGCTGAGCCAAAGTGTTCTACAAACAGAGGGAACTAGAAATATCTCCCATTGCCAAGTCATATCTAAGGCTCATCCTATTGACTGGAGTAGTGAATAACGTTTGCATTGCATTAGAACCTTATGGGATGGTAATGATTCTTCCAGGTATTAGGTAGGAACTCAGGTGTTACCAGGGAAATGAAGTTATGGCTAGTAAAAAAGTTTAGATTTCAATTGCAAAATGCATGAAAATATAAAATATTGATCTTCCTTTTCTTTCTTTGGCAAGTGACCATTGTATAAGTGGGATAATGCCCTTCGAGGTGTCTATTATCAGGAATTAATGGACTTCCCTGAAGCGGAGATTCTGGCCTTCATTCCTGATAATGGACACCTTCCCGGGTATTATTTCTTACTTATCTGACATGAGTTTGTTCAATACAGATTTGTTCCCTCACCATATTTGGTTACGCTGCATTTTCATCATCCCACAACTTTAGTCCACACTGAGATATCTCAACAGCTATCAGATGGGTTGCCATGACGTTTTAGTACAGAAGACGCATCAAGTGTGTGCACACCCAGGCAAAAATATTACTGCAAGACACAAAAGAGAAAAAGTCTGTACACTGAGGGGGTCCAAATGATTATTTTTATTCCCTTTTTATAAAGCAACGTTTCAATCTGCAAGATCTCATTCAGACAAATGTCAAAAGAAAACAGGCATTGCTTGAAGAGGCACAGCAGTCCACTCAAATCACTAACACCTGCTGGTCAGCAAGCAGCAGGAAAAAAATCAAGCCCCACAAGATGGCAAACAGAGGATAGAAAGTCCTAAAAACAGTTTGAAAGTTCAATGTTAATATGACAGCACCTGATTACACATGGGTCATTAATGGAAGAAGCAAAGACTAATTATCAAACAGATGCAACAGAGGAAAAAATGTAAGTGTGAACAGGCAGGAACAAATACTCTAAAGGCAAATCACATCTTAAATCTGGTATCTGTACACATTATAGGGCCTCTGTGTGGAAGAGAAAACATTTATATACACACATAATTCATATCAATGACAGACCCATCTAAAAATATATATATTAAACTAAAGGTTGACCCTCCCTGCCTGGTATATGCCCATATCTTTCAAACGCATGCACAGTTTGTAATGCTTTCTATTGGAGATAGGTGTAATATGTGTATAAAAAAATAACTTGAAATAAATTTGAACAATTTTCACTCACTGTATGTGGCACTCATATTGGGCATCAATATATGCCCTGTCTCCTTCTCGTAGGATTCATTTTAATTTTGAGTGGTCATATACATTGTTGAAATCTGGGATTACAGGATTTCATTTGTTCAAATGAATGTTTTACATTGTAGGACAGGAAGTGCATCTCTGTCTCAACATCACCTGTCCAACAGTGACCACATATTACTATATAAGTTTTCTTTTGGTTTCTACGTTGTTTGTGTCTTCCTTTTTCAATTTCCAGGTTGTGCTCACTGAGCCTGGACTTGGTTAGGATCTGTCTCTGCTGTCTCTCTCTGACAGTAGATATTCTGCCCATTCATAATCTCTTTTTAGGCTCAGAACTAATTACTAACTAACTAATAAAAGGCCAAGTCAACTGCCAAACATTTATTTTCCGTTTCTCTCTTAAAGCTAAAGTACTTGGTGCTCATGTTAATGCCACTGACAAATAAAGGAAGACACAAACAAAGAAAGAAATTACCATCCTTTAAAAACACCAATTTTCTGCTGCTCCTTTAATTTCAGAATAACTTCATGTTCATGCATTCCAGCATGAGGTCCAGTTCTCAGCTGTTTGTTTTTGAGAATTTCAAAGTAATGGTTCCAGTTTCCATCTCTGTCTGCTCCAAACCCAAAAACATTGACCTGGGAAAACAAACACACCATGAATCTCAGCTGGATTTGAATAAACGCTCCATAGAATTGTCTTTCTTATTTCTGCATACAGTACATTTCTGCATATTCTAACTTACATTTCATACTGTTATGGTGCTGCACTCCACAGTGTTACTAAATAGGGTTTCTGAACACATCCAGATAAGCTGGGTAGAGTTAAAATGATTTCTTTAAGGTTTTATCTGACAAGCAACCTCTTGTTATTGTTCTACGGTGGCCGACAAAGGCAAATGCGCCGCAAAAGGGCAAATGCGCTGCAGACGGCAAAGCGCTGCAAACACGGGAATGATGCAAAACCAAAACACACAAACACATAAAAACAAATGCAACAGAAAAACGCAGCAACAGAAAAATGCTGCAATCACAGAAATGGAGCAGAAGCACAAACTTACAAACACACAAAACAACTGCCAAAGAAAAATGCTGCAAATACCAAAAACACACAAAACAACAAACAACGCTGCAAATTCACTCGACGGAAGTGCGCCAGGCCACTAGGGGGACCCGACCTGAGGGATGGACCAGTCCTGTGGGACCAGACCCGAAAGACATGAAGAAGAAGAACAATGTTGGCGGAGAGGAGAGTAAAAAGATAAGTTTTCCTTTATGTCTTTTTAAAACACTTGGCCGTAATCTTTTATATTAATATATAATAATAATAATAATAATAATAATTAATATTATAATAATAATAAATACTATTATTATAATATTATTATAGAAGAATATTATAATAATTCTTCTATAAAATGATATTATAATGATATTATATATATATATAATTTAAAAGATTATGGCCAAGTGTTTAAAAAAGACATAAAGGAAAACGTATCTTTTTACTCTCCCCTCCAAAACTTAGCCAACTTTCTTCTTCTTCTTCTTCTTCTTCTTCTTCTTCTTCTTCTTCTTCTTCATGTCTTTCGGGTCTGGGCCCACAGGACTGGTCCATCCCTCAGGTCAGGTCCCCCTAGTGGCCTGGCACACTTCCGTTTTGTCGAGTGAATTTGCAGCGTTTATCTCTTGGAGTTGTTTTGTTGTTTTGTGTGTTTTTGGCATTTGCAGCATTTTTCTTTGGCAGTTGTTTTGTGTGTTTGTAAGTTTGTGCTTCTGCTCCGTTTCTGTGATTGCAGCATTTTTCTGTTGCTGCGTTTTTCTGTTTGCGGCGCGTTTGCCCTTGTCGGCCACCGTACTGTTCTCTCTCAAAAACGAAGACAGAAAAAGCAAAGTTGTTTTAATACAGCAAACTGCATTATGCAGGTGAACATCATTTCTATTCTATTTCATTTACTACTACACTTTTAATGTGTAGGCTGCACATTTAACAGTGTAGTAGTAGATTAAATAAAATAGGTTACACCATCATCCATCTAAACTTGAGACCAATCCTATTTTTAATGTAAGGCCATGGGGAAATATCCCGGTGCTCCCGATGGCCAGTCCGCCACTGCTCCAGGGTGTGGCTCCAGGGTGTGGCTGCAGGAGGGAGCCCTGGTTTCCCTTTTCCGGCCAAGGTGCTGCTACTCCTTCTTGGCCGCTGCACTGAATCGCTCTTTGTCTGGCCCGTGTCTGATATGTGAATTTTGTTTACCTTTGGACAAAGCCAAGCTAGCTGTTTCCCCATTTCCAGTCTTCATGCCAATCTAAGATAACCAGCTGCTGTCTCTGGCTACGTAACTACAGATGTGTAAGAGGATTTCCCAAAATGTCAAACTATTGCTGTAACCACAGCTGTAGCAGATTAGAAAATGCATGATGTGTGATGAACACAAACATATATGTTTACTTATAAAGATTAGCAAAGATGACGTTTTATTATTTTAAAGCTACAGGAGATGTTTTTATAAAAAAATTTTTTGTCATATTTGCTGAAACTTTCACTATACTGACAGTAGCAGACAGATAATCTGAGAAAAATACAGGTTCCTCTGGCTTGTCGTAGTGCTCTTAATGGCTTCTTAATCTTCAAGCCTCCAACCCAAAGCATCTTTATACTTTTCTCGGCTCTGATTGGTTGTTTTTGTTCAGGCCTGGTGGATTCTTGCAAATGCCATTAGGAGCACTAGAAGGAGCCAGAGGAACATGATTTTTCACAAATTATCGGTCTCATACTGATGTCAGGATATAGTGAATGTTTAAACAAATGAGATAAAAAAGTTATTTTTATAAAAGTTACCTACTGCAGCTTTAAGATTTGCATTTATATTTATTCATGGCCTAGCACTCTTCTTCTTCCTTGCCTTCACTGGTGCAGTTCTTGGTGTTTGACTGCCACCAGATATCAGTAGGATAGCATTAAGCTGTTGGCACAATGTGTAATGTGAACTTACCTCATCACACATTTGCGTGCTGAGAGCCAAAGTCAGAAAGCCAGTGGATGGATAATTGCCCTTCTTTCCCAACCACATTTCATGAACATATTTCATGAAAGCTGGATTGAGGATCATCACCTGTTATGAATCAGACTTAAACTGACATTAATCTGACATTTATAAAACATTCCTTTCTCTAATAAATGCTCGATACAATACAAATCACTGGATGACTTGATACTCACCAAATCTTTGTTAGCTCTCCTCGCCTTGTTAGCACTGTTTTCCCTGTTGGATGCAACATTAATTGTTAAATTTAGTAGAATGTAAACTGATTACCAAGTATTATTTGGTAAAAATGGTGTAAGACTACTTTACCTAGTCCAAATTAATTCTAATGCTGCCCTTAGTGTAAAGAAGCAATTTTATTCTAACACATTTGTCACTTCAACTTTATAAGGTGATAATATGTCAATGTTCCATTCACAGATTACATGCCCTGCGCACACATTAACAAAAAAAAAACTATAGCAAGAATTTTCTAAGTAAAAGTGGAAAGTATTAATTACTTCAACCAGGGTTCCAAACCGGGGGTCAGGACCCCCACTAGGGGTGGATAAAGGAGGTCTAAGAAAAAAATACACAGTAGGCCTATATAATCTCAGCATTTTGTTTATTTTTGTGAAGAAAACTAAATGAAACTGTTATTTTTAATGTTTCAATTATTATTTAAGATCCTGAACACAAGCTATATTCACTGAGCGTACAGTCTCTTCTAAACAACCTCGTCCCACTTTAGTAAATATTAAACTACTACAACAATGGCCAAGCATTAGGGAGAAGAAAATGTAGTCTATGAAGTATATATGATTAAATTATTGTTAAAAATGAAGGTTCATTGAATAGTTTATACCTCTGCCACAGCGTACAGTCACACACAAACACCATTTTTTCATTCATATTAGATGTATCACTGTGATCCTCTGTGAGCTGAGACCTACCCTGGATCGAAGGATTTGAGGAGCCATAGTAAATCATCGATCTTGAATGGAAACAGCACAAGATGTGTGGTGTTGTCCAGATTTATAGCACTCTCTGGATACATCACATGGTGTGTTGTTTTGTTCCCAACATCTGCTTCATAGCCTTTGGTACGGCCATGGTTCATTCTAAAAGATACAGGGGATACACATTTAATATCATGTAGTTGAAGAACAATAACATGGTGATTGAAGTTGAATTGAAGTTGCATGGCAATCCTGAATAAAAATGCTGCTGACCCTTTGTATGTGGCAGAATTGTGGCTCTACTAGATTTTTCTACTACACAAAATAAAGTTCCTCAGAATTTGTCTCAGTGTCAACATCATTGTCCAAACTAGACCAGGGATTTAACTGAACACTGGTGATTTACCTTATTATGATATCATGAGAATCAATCAGAGGTCCATAATGTGATCCCTTCAAATTACCAGAATTCCCCACCACAGCACAAGTCCTGCAGCGGTCAGGGCTGGGTCCTACAACATCTGGAATGGGTGGGAAAATCTGAAACAGCCTGTCCACTGTTGTCTTGTAGAAATCGAAGTTACGTCTTTCATTCTGGATGTGCTGACACACATAACAGAAAATTCAGTCCTTCATTCATTCCAGCATCAGTTTGCAATTAAAGTGAGTTGTAGTATGTAAGCTACAATACACAATACAAGATGCAATTCATAATAGGTCCCATCCAAGTCATGTAATGTTGAGTATCTGCTGATACAGAGTCCCGATCCAATCCAGTATTAATTTTAGATAATACTGTGCACAGTTTAAGTATATTAAAGTTACTCAGATCAATCCAGTGCTTGACAATTGAATAGCTCTGTATTGCAGTAATGCACTGTTTGTTTTACTTTCATATTCGAGTATAAAATAACAAACCCTCATCGTTGCAGCCTCTGTATTCAACTCAGTGATCTTTTGCGCAAATTACATTTATTAGTTAAAGCTGCAAGCAGCGTTGGGCGGGACCTCGCAGTCCACGCAACTCGGGGTGTGCTGCGGCCACGTTACGTGCCGTTGTTACACGTGCGGACCACAACATGAAAATTTCATGTAAATCAGTTCAGAATCGCCACGCAGGGCTTACTTTCTGTTGCCAGTAGGTGGCGCTATCACTATGTCTGAATATTGTCATGTAGACGTGTTCAAGGCAGGACTGTTATCAATCACGTTAAGTTTCATTGAGATTGGACCATGTACACTGAAGTTGTGAGGACGTGTTACAGAATATGTGACGTTTAGTGGACATGAGTTCATCATGTTAGTAATGAGTACTATCTGTTTCATGGCCAATCGGTGGAATTCAACACATCGCCACAGGCACGCGGTTTGATATACAGTCACAAATAGCACAACTTTTGATCAGCAGTATTTTTTCACTGTATTGACCAATTTTGAAGTTGATCCCATAAATTCCCTAGTAGGAGTTTGTTCAAATACAACGAAAAAAAAAAACGCTCAAAGTCGGCAAAGTGCCAGAAATGGCACCAAAGTTTGACATTCAGTTCAATCTGGCCAAATTTGACGGCATGCCACAGACACGCCCTTCAACGTACGTGTACAAATAGCTCAACTTTTAATCAGCACTATACTGTAACTGTACTGACCAATTTTGAAGCAGATCCGATGAATTCCCTAGGAGGAGTTTGTTCAAATACAACACGAAAAATCAAAGAAAATGAGAAAAATAAAAAATGACCAACTTTGATGCCACGGACATGCCCTTCAACGTACATGCACAAATAGCACAACTTTTAATCAGCACCATTTTCTGACCGTACTGACAAATTTTCGCACATTTCGTGCTCTAGCGAAGAAAAATTATAGGCGAAAGTGGGCGTGGCCTATATTGTTTTTTTTAGTTTCCTGACACTATACAGGTTCTTCTTGGGGTATAAAGGAACAGAAAAAGTGCAGAAAACACCAAAAACAGTCAGAGTCTCTAAAATTATTAACACTGAAATTATGTGTGTAAAGATAAGTTGATATTTACCTTCCACCAAATGAAATCATCCTCTGAGCTTGTATAGTTTCTTGACAAAAAGGGTGTTGGAGAAGAATTGATGAGCTCCCTAAACCATGGATCACTCTCTGTTAAACATTTGTGACAGGCACAAAGACCTGAATTCTCAGGGCCGAGGTAATGTAAAGACATATCCCATGAATATCTAGATAACACACCAATGGCAGTGATACACAGTAGGTAAATGAGAACTTGGGTGTTGCCCAATCTGGGAACCATCTTGGCAGCGTTTTGAATGAAGAGCAGATTCTGTTGATACAAAATGTGATGAAACACACAGGTGAGTCAATATATGGAAAACGTGTTATGAACAACATTAAAAGAAATGACTGTCACTTTAATATGCAACCACTCCTAGTTTGGCAGGTGTTCTCAGGCGGTGGTAGATAAATATAGACAACACAATGAAAACATAAATGCCACCTGTTTGTTTGGCAGCCATCAGTATTTTAAAAAACTCCAAAGTAGTTGTCTGTATAGTGGAATAATATTTGAGACTTTGGTCAAACTGGTAATAAGTAGTTTAAGAGGTAACATAAGGCACATTTTGAGACAAGAGCAAGAATATTTAATATTCATATTTACCATATTAATAAATTAACATAAAATGTTTTTTTATATCTTTCTTCTTACCTTCAGTAGTTTCTTGGATAAAAAATACATTACATAATACAATATTATGCCAGACAACAGCATAGGAAGAACTAAAGCCACAGTTACTGGCTGGGTTGAGTATCATTCATAGACAAAATCATTTGCACTTTGTATTTCAGCATTCATCCCATTAAAAAGCTACACTCTGTCACTGTATACCAAGTTATACATTTAATCTCACAATCAATTGAAATTTGTTTAAGATATAAATATAGGTATATATATTATCTTACCGAGAGAAAGGGGTGAGGCAACTGAGGAAGAGAATGCTGCCGTTGAACACCTGGTGTACTATTAAGATACAATCGTGGCACTGGCAGAACGGGAAAGGACTACCGTAGGTGTGTTTGGTTAAACAAAGGCACACAGTTGAATATGTATGGTCATTCTGTTCCACTGGATGAGTTAACATCTTGTTTTTCTAGCATTATGGTTCAGTAGACTTATGTTTTGTTGGCCCCTATAACTCAGTTAATTCAGTTGCCTTCAGTAATTTGTTTTATTTAATCTTTTTGGGGAATATAAACCCAACTTTTGAACTTTAAACAAATGTTATTGGCAGTGTAAAGACTTTACTACTATTTTGATCTAATTTATTTTTATTTTTTGATTGTATATTATGTACTTATAATAATTTGATAGCAAGGCTCGGTTCTACTTTGAATAGCAAATTCCAAGGGCAAGGTAGGTGATACAAGTGTGTGTGCACCTGTGCACCTGCTATTTTGATTCTATTATTCCATGAATGTTCACCAGCATGCTAAAACATGCAGAACGGCAGAGTCAAGATAATTATAGAGCATAGGTGAATAGGTGTGGTTATTATAAAATTTTATGAACACAGCACTCCTGTCAATGTAATGCAAGGTGTTGGACATAAAGTAACCTAAAATAAAATCAAATATGTGGAAGGTGTGATTGAGATGTAAATTGAGAAGCTAGAAAAACATTCAAGTTAATGGGTTTACAGTTTTAGAATCATATATAGCTTGATATTGATTTGGGGACAAGGACATGGCTGGATAGCTAGCTTGTATTGTTAAACATACTGTCAAATTATATTTACCGTTTGTCAATTGTTGTTATTCCCTTTTAATCTAGCTAGCATAGCGTTAGCTCTGTGTCTCGTAGCTGAGCCAAAGTGTTCTACAAACAGAGGGAACTAGAAATATCTCCCATTGCCAAGTCATATCTAAGGCTCATCCTATTGACTGGAGTAGTGAATAATGTTTGCATTGCATTAGAACCTTATGGGATGGTAATGATTCTTCCAGGTATTAGGTAGGAACTCAGGTGTTACCAGGGAAATGAAGTTATGGCTAGTAAAAAAGTTTAGATTTCAATTGCAAAATGCATGAAAATATAAAATATTGATCTTCCTTTTCTTTCTTTGGCAAGTGACCATTGTATAAGTGGGATAATGCCCTTCGAGGTGTCTATTATCAGGAATTAATGGACTTCCCTGAAGCGGAGATTCTGGCCTTCATTCCTGATAATGGACACCTTCCCGGGTATTATTTCTTACTTATCTGACATGAGTTTGTTCAATACAGATTTGTTCCCTCACCATATTTGGTTACAGTGCATTTTCATCATCCCACAACTTTAGTCCACACTGAGATATCTCAACAGCTATCAGATGGGTTGCCATGACGTTTTAGTACAGAAGACGCATCAAGTGTGTGCACACCCAGGCGAAAATATTACTGCAAGACACAAAAGAGAAAAAGTCTGTACACTGAGGGGGTCCAAATGATTATTTTTATTCCCTTTTTATAAAGCAACGTCTCAATCTGCAAGATCTCATTCAGATAATGAGAAACTTTAAATAAAACATTATTTTACCAAGTCAAAATATTGAGATACTAAGTCATTATTTTGAAAAAAAATTGAATTATATTGACTTAAAGAATCCTTTTTTTCCGTCACACTGTCTTCCATAAGAAAAAGCAAAGTTGTTATAATACAGCAAAACTCTCAGACATACTGTCTGACTATAACACCTTTGCTATCCCGTCCATGATAGAGAAAAGTATTTTTAATTCCGTAAACTTAATTAAAAGTTATTTACCCTTATTCACAGTTATCATGCAGCTGGAACCACGAGACGCACAGCTAGCATAGAGACTGGTAACAAGGAAACAGCTTGCTCCATGGTGTGGCTCCAGGGTGTGGCTCCAGGAGGGAGCCCTGGTTTCCCTTTTCTGGCCAAGGTGCTGCTACTCCTTCTTGGCCGCTGCACTGAATCGCTCTTTGTCTGGCCCCTGTGTCTGATATGTGAATTTTGTTCACCTTTCGACAAAGCCAAGCTAGCTGTTTCCCCATGTCCAGTCTTCATGCCAATCTAAGATAACCAGCTGCTGTCTCTGGCTGTGTAATTACAGATGTGAGAGTGGTACTGATCTGATCGGATTTCCCAAAATGTCAAACTATTGCTGTAACCACAGCTGTAGCAGATCAGAAAATGCATGACGTGTGATGAACACAAACATATATGTTTACTTATAAAAGATAGCAAAGATGACATTTTAATATGTTTTTTTCATATTTGCTGAAACTTTCACTATACTGACAATAGTAGACAGATAATCTGAGTCGTAGCGCTCCTTATGGGATTTGCAAGGAAACAGCAGACATGAACAAAAGCAATCAATCAGAGCCAAGAAAGATAGTTTCTTATCAGATTATCTGTCATGATATAGTGAAGTTTCAGCAAATATCACACAAAGTTATTTTATAAAAGTTACCTACTGCAGCTTTAAGATTTGCATTTATATTTATTCATGGCCTAGCACTCTTCTTCTTCCTTGCCTTCACTGGTGCAGTTCTTGGTGTTTGACTGCCACCAGATATCAGTAGGATAGCATTAAGCTGTTGGCACAATGTGTAATGTGAACTTACCTCATCACATATTTGCGTGCTGAGAGCCAAAGCGAGAAAGCCAGTGGATGGATAATTGCCCTTCTTTCCCAACCACATTTCATGAACATATTTCATGAAAGCTGGATTGAGGATCATCACCTGTTATGAATCAGACTTAAACTGACATTAATCTGACATTTATAAAACATTCCTTTCTCTATTAATGTTTAATATTTATGCTCAATACAATACAAATCACTGGATGACTTGATACTCGCCAAATCTTTGTTAGCTCTCCTCGCCTTGTTAGCACTGTTTTCCCTGTTGGAGGCAACATTAATTGTTAAATTTAGTAAAATGTGAACTGATTACCAAGTATTATTTGGTAAAAATGGTGTAAGACTACTTTACCTACTCCAAATTAATTCTAATGCTGCCCTTAGTGTAAAGAAGCAATTTTATTCTAACACATTTGTCATATCAACTTTATAAGGTGATAATATGTCAATGTTCCATTCATAGATTACATGCCCTGCGCACACATTAACAAATAAACTTTAGCAAGAATTTTCTAAGTAAAAGTGGAAAGTATTAATTACTTAAACCAGAGGTTACAAACCGGGGGTCAGGACCCCCACTAGGGTTGAACAAAGCTTCACAGGGGGTCACAAGGCCTTCTTTATTTTAAGAGGTCTCAGAAAAACTACACTGTAGGCCTATATCATCTCAGCATTTTGTTTATTTCTGTGAAGAAAACTAAATGAAATTGTTATTTTTAATGTTTCAATTATTATTTAAGATCCTGAACACAAGCAGTCTCTTCTAAACAACCTCGTCCCACTTTAGTAAATATTAAACTAATACAACAATGGCTAAGCATTAGGGAGAAGAAAATGTAGTCTATGAAGTATATATGATTAAATTATTGTTAAAAATGAAGGTTCATTGAATAGTTTATACCTCTGCCACAGCGTACAGTCACACACAAACACCATTTTCATTCATATTAGATGTATCACTGTGATCCTCTGTGAGCTGAGACCTACCCTGGATCGAAGGATTTGAGGAGCCACAGTAAATCATCGATCTTGAATGGAAACAGCACAAGATGTGTGGTGTTGTCCAGATTTATAGCACTCTCTGGATACATCACATGGTGTGTTGTTTTGTTCCCAACATCTGCTTCATAGCCTTTGGTACGGCCATGGTTCATTCTAAAAGATACAGGGGATACACATTTAATATCATGTAGTTGAAGAACAATAACATGGTGATTGAAGTTGAATTGAAGTTGCATGGAAATCCTGTGGTCAACAAGATGACAACGCTCACGGTCTTTTCGGTTTTCATTTCGGTCGGTCCTGGCCATGGGTTCGAGGGGATTCATTTTAAATGTTTCTGTCTCTCTCAAGAGTTAGAGACAGAGAGAGAGCGCGCACAGCTGCTGTGGCCTCCCCTGGTTGCCACGACAACCAAAGCCTGCCTGTGAACACACACATACACGCACACACATAGCTAGCTACAGAGGAGTATTAAGGTATTAACAAGCAAACAATTTAAAGCTGAATGATTTTAATATTAACACAAAATGAGTGCAATACACCTTAAATATTTTACCCTACCATGAGCTGTTCCTTAATTTACATTAGCACTCCTTCAGGAGCATAATAGGCGAATAGCGGTTAGCTGGCGATTAGCGCGTAGCTAAGCGCTAGCTTTGGTTAATGTGTTTATGTGTGCTAGCTCTAGCTAGCTAGCTAGGGAGGACTACATGGCATTAATATGCTAGCGCTAGCGTGCTAGAGAGCAAGACATGGTATTAACATATGGGCCAGAGCAAGGCACAATCAAAATTTCTTTAGGAATTTTCTAGTTAATTACTCTTATTGGGTTTTTGTTGGACTTGCAGTGTGAACAGTTTTTCCATAGAACTAGTTACTAACAGCCATTGGCATTTAAAATAACTTTTCAGATTTCAAAGTAGTTGTCTGTATAGTGGACTACTACTTGAGACTTTGGGCAAACTGGTAATATAATGCTGAAAGAGGATAATAAAACAGTAACATAACAATGAAATTAATAAAAAGATTAAGTGGTGCAGTTCAGATCAGATCGTGTCCGTGCTTCTATGAAGTTTACACAACAGTTTAAACTGACAAACTAAGCAGGGAATAAAAGAGAAGAAACAGGAAATGCAATTCAATAAACCTTACAGTATATTTTAATTTACATATATTGAATTCTTCCTGCTGCTTCACTGAACTAAAAGCAAGAAAACATCAAAGAAGTAGTTTAAGAGGTTACATAAGGAACACTTTGAGACAAGAGGGAGAATATTCAAAAACAGGTTAAAAACAACACAATCCAGCCATTGTATTTAGCTTTACTATATAAATAAATGAACCTGAAATAAAGAAAAAATGATATACCTTCAGTACTGTCTTCTTTCTAAATACATTAAATAATACAATATGCCAGCATAGAAAAAAAATTATTTGATCATGGGCAAATCTTTTGCATTTTGCATTTGCACATTCAACCCATTAAAAAGCTACATTGTGAGATATAAATGTATATATATTTCTCTTACTGAAAAAAGGCTGAGGCAAGAAGACAATGCTGCCGTTGGATATCCATATACCGTCACCTGGGAGAACTTCCTGGAAGAGAGGACGGGGCATTTATGATAGTTACGGTAAGTGTGCGTGGCACACAAAGCAACACCAGGAGGTATGTTATAAAATTGTGTGTGCACCTGTATCCATTGGCACCATCCAACTTGCTCCCCTTACATGGTCACGTAGTTCAGTAATTAATGTTACATAACAGCGTTCGTGGTGAAATATGTTTCAAGGATAAAACTTGAGATGCTACTTTTGCTGAAAAGAAAGTGAGACCTCATAACTGACACTTTAATGAAGGTAAACGCAGCGAACGGTTGTGTGTACACTGCACTCTGAATAGGAAACAGAGCAACCACATATTTTAATTTGGATCAAAGACTTTAAACTACACCACCTCTCCAAATGTCTTGGTTTTTGCCTTTAATAAAAAATATTTTGGAGATTTTGGCTCATCCTGCATTAGCCTTGTATTGAATAAAATTAAATTGTGTCCTGACATTGATTTGGGGTGGTTTAGACGTGAAGCGGAGAGGAGTCTGGTGTAGTGGGAAAATGCTTTCAGGGATAAGGTTCTGCAACATGAAGCAAACTATATTATGGTGTCCATTGCTTTTCTTACATTACCATCTTACATTAGAGTTTTAACTGAACCCATTTATTGTCTGGACTTTGTTCATTCAAACCACACCTAAACAGAAAGAATATCACAGCAATGTCACAGATCAACTATTGACAGTGTCAAATTGCTTTACAAGGTGATAAAAAAAAAAAAAAAGATGTATAGGAAAAAAAAAAATGTTGTCTTTATGTCACACTGTAGTTTGACTATATTTAAAAGGTCCAGTTAGATTTAATAGTATATCTAGCAGTGTAACTGCAGATCGTAACTCAATATCTCAACATCAGAGCAAAGTGGCATGGCCCATACCAGATCAAGCAGGAGATGGTTGTTGTACTATACCAGATCCACATGCCTAAACAGAAACAGCTATACCAAACCTTCCATATCAACATGGAACTTGAGAAGCAATTGCACCTGGACCACCTGTGTGAGAAGAAGAGGATGGAGCTTCTCAAGATTTTGCACAGAGGTGGTCCAGCACAATATTATGCTGAAGGACCCCAAGCCCCCCTTTGACAGCCTGTCTACAGGGTTCCAGGGCGCCTGCAACCAGTACTGAAGAAAGAGCTGGAGATGATGAGGAAGATGGGTGTTATAC